TCCTGGAATCTGCTTTCTCCTCAGTGCATTTTTTTCAGGTTGGAAGAATTAAGGGAACATTGCATTTACAAAGTACAGTCCCCGGTAACAATAACATAGTGAATAGTCGTTATTACCTCACTTACCACGTCTGTAGCATTACCCAAAAGTGGGTCTCTCCTTCCTTCCCTTGGCCTCCTCCACTCTCCTTTGTCTCTGCCTCCTGCCCAGGTTTCCTCAGTCACTTTTAGAGGATTCTCTTCTCGCACACTTTCAATGTTGGCTTCTCTAGGATTGAAGTCCCGTTGTCGCCTTTTCCTCTTCTATACATTCTCCTAGACTGTTTGATCAATGCTGTGGTTTCAAATATGCTATACACACGACAGTTTATACATATATATATATATACCTACACACACACATATATATGTTCATATATATTATACATAGATAATATATAAAATATATGAGCCACATACATATACATATTGTATATGCATAATATATGAGAATATATATATATGTACATGTATCTCATATCTCTATTCTGAACACAAATTCATGTATATCCATTTGTCTCCTAGATAATTCCACTGAGATATCTCACTAGCAGTTCAAACTCAAAAAGTCCAAAAGCTAAACTCATCATCTTCCCCAAAACCCGCGTCTCCTCTTTTTGCCGACTCGAAGAAATGCGCCACCTTCAGCCTTCGGTCTAGTTACTCAAGCCGGAAGCCCGAGGACCGTTCTACACTCCTCTGTCTTCACATCAGATCCAGGCACCAAGTTCTACTCCTCCTACTTGTAAGTCTTTCTGAAACGCATCTTATCTCCTGCTCCCTGCCCCTCTTTCTTCAAACTCCCATTATTTTCTCACATGGATCCCCGGCCTAAGGTACGTCTCTGCTCCCAGCCCCTTCTTTAACCTCCATCTCTATCACCTCTCCAGTCCATCTCGAATACAGCCGCGAAGTATTCATAAATACAAATACAATCACATAATTTACCCTCACCTCCAGCGGAAATTCTCCCAGGGTTACTCACAACCTTCCTCCTCAAAGCTAACCATGTCACTTCTTTCAAAGTCTTTTGGTGACGGGTCACTGTGCCAAAGTTATAAAGTTCATGCACAGATAACAAAACATATATTTGTTTTGTCTCCTTGTCTCTCAGTGATAAACCCATGTGATATTTACATTAATAGATAATCAGAAGAGGGAACTGGTCAACAAATATGAAAGTAAAACAAAAACCCAAAAAGGGACAATGCTAGAAGTGACATTTGAACTGAATGCAAATGGAGTTAGAGAAGAAACAGCTGCCCACAGGAATGTTGATACCGCAGAAGTTGGAGAGGCTCTAGCTATGCCAACAGAGGAACACAGTGAAGATGCAGTTAATGACATTAATGACGAAAAGGATGACGATATCCCAGGGGAACTGATGCGGGTTAAAAATCTTCACATTGAATGGACTCTCAGAGAGCTCTCACAACACTGAAAGTGCAAAAACAAAATGTTGGAAGGTAAACCAAGCTCAGCAAGGAGTGTGATGACTCACCAAGGAATGGGGAAACGCTGACTCAGCATCTTAACTTAGATGCCGAGAAGGCAAAAATCGTTCACGCCACGCGATAAGGTTTTGTCTTTCTCACTGTTTCTAATGCTTTAAATTACAATGTATCAAAGAAACATGAGTTTTACTATATTTTTTCATTTCTCTATATATTTATGACTAACAGTAAGAGAGTTTTTAATGCTTGCCAAAAAGTTTTAAAGGTCACAGAACAATCATAATTTTTACTCACTGATTATTAAGACTGCTTTGTACGATTCCAGCTCTAAAAGTCATTTTCATGATCCTGTACAAAGCAAGGACTGCCTATATATGTTATTGACCTGACTATGCTTGCTTTTTCTTGCTATTTAAGTAACAGTCACTGGAAATTTGAATAATCAGGCAATACAAAATATGTAATCACAATTACATATAGAAAATTAATAAAATTATAATGTTCAGCAGTCTAATAACATGCTATCTATCCAAGTGTCAAATTAAAGCATATCAAAAAGTTTCCTAGCATTTTTAAATATTAGGAAATCAACAATCACTATCTGGCTACAGTGAAATCTTCAAGGTTCAATAAGAGATTGAGGGCATTTCTAGTATTTTCCTTAGCTACTAAATGTAAAGATACTTTTTCAATGAGTAAATGAGATCAGGCAGCATATAGAAAGAGAGCTTCCACAGAAGTACAAGTTAGAAGTCCTTTCATAGCTTCCTGTTACTGTCCAAAATGGTAAATACACTGCTGGCTCCCTCCTCAGAAACCAAACCTGGAGAAACTATAGAAGCTAAAGAGAAGCATGGATTCCAGAACTAGAAACAACCACAGGACAAGACCATGGTAACCTCCTGCTGAGCTGCAGGTTGTCTTAAACTGATGTGGGTGGGAGCTGGGCAACTGCAGTCTGGGGCAGGTGGGAGCAGGAAGCTGCAATGGCTAAGCTGGAGGGAACCACTGGATTCTCTTCCCTCACCCCATATTGACTTGGTACAATCCTTGCCCATCTATTCCCTAGAAAAGGGCAAAAACGGCCCAAAGCACTGGTGCTGGTGTCCTTTGAGATCAGGGCAGTTCAAAAGCCCTGCATGCGTGAACAATTAATGAAAGTGGTACTGCGTGCTGACCTAAGAGCTGCCTTTGGACACCCACTTCTCTGACCCCTTCCCTCCAAATGGCTGATGGACACCATCTCAAGAGAGTGCCTTTCCTCAGTGCTGCATCTTCCTAGGTGTGGAAAGGTGAAATCCTGCCCAAGACAGTTGCCGGGCACAGTGGCAGCAACACGAATCGTCAATAGTGGATTTGGGGTATTTGGGTCACTGCTCCTAGAAGCTCATCCTGTCCCTTCTCTTTAAACTCATCAGAACTGGTACAGTTTAGGGCATGGACTTTAGTTCCTTCCCCACATGTTTTCTGACAGAGTAGCTGATACCTCCAGAGAATATCACAAGTCCAAAATAATTCAGAAGACAAAAAACCCTGAACATATGCCACCAAAGCAGAAATCAGTCTGCTTGCCTAATTTACCATACTGTAATTTTGATTGATTTGCTACATTGTAATATATTACTATATTGATTAACAATCTTGATTGTTGACATACTAAGTGATAGTACATACAGCATGCTAGGTAGGGAATATTATATAATTCCTAAATATTATTTTTTAAATAAATGCTAAAAGAAACCCTGAACAACATAAACCTCTGATGAGACCTGTGTCCTGTTTATTCATTTGTCCTTCTTATCTTCCTTCCTTCTTTCCTTTCTCTCTCTTTTTTTTGGACGTAGGTTTATCAGGGACATTTAGCCTCCTATAGAGCGAAGTTCACTTTTCCTACACTCATGTTAGTTTTCTAAGGGAGAGATTTAGCTGCAAGATACCGTTTAAAACTGTGCACTTGCCTCTGTCTGCTGCAAATCCAATAACAGGGACCTCATTGTGTCCTCAGTGTTCATTTGAGATTTTGGCTTCCCAAACTTGAACCTATGGCACAACTTACTGTTACCAACCAGGCAAATGGTAGGTCTTGGTTTCATTGGTATCTTAAAGCCAAGCAAAGACTGGTGTTACACATGTATAATTTTTTGAAAGGCAGTCAGTAGGCCAATTTTGTGACGACCACATACAAGTATGAACCAGGACCTGCTGTGATTTCCTTCTCAAATAAATACCTGCTGAGAACCATAAATCACCCATATTTTAGTTTGACTGAGTCTGTATGTTTTTTCCAAAGGCTGATAGGACTGGCAGAAACAGCTCAACTAGTTTCTTAAATGAACAATTAAACCCAGTGTTAACCTTCTTAATGTATCGTACACTGTACATTGGAACCAAATATCACCAGAATTTATGAGCTTTATTGGATTCATTTCTATTTCCAAACTGTAAAGCCTCTACATCTTTAACTATAGGTCCCATACCATAACTGTGACACCTTCCTGGTGGCTTGAAAGAGTTGTGTTTTAGTAACGCTTAACAACCAGGAAGTGATTTCAGTAGAGAACTATGGGAAAAAGTGATTTAATATTTTAAACTTAAATATACGTAAAATATATATTATAAATATTTATATAAGTATAAGATATATACATATATATGTGTGTGTATATATATACTCGATTTCTAACTCCCTTGTCCAACTCATCCGAAAAAGCACCTGAGTAGTAGCTCTCCACTCTTCCAGGGTTATTTGAACCCTTTAAAAGCGATGTGAGAGAAAAGCCCTTCCCAATTTAACAAAATTATCTATTGATGATGGTTATTTGTGACTGTACGTGTAGACCACATCCTGGGCCTTTCTAGTCGATCAAGGAAAGCAAATAATTTCACATTGCCCCTAGAGTGACCTAAAATTCCAAATACAAACAACCACTCTGAGGTGGATTTTTCCCCACCTGCCCCTTTTCTCAAAGAAAGCTGACAGAGAAGCAGGTAGATCTGGCATGTGTATTTAGGCCTTTGTAACCTAAGGCAAGGCAGGAGGTACGCCTCAAGTTGTGTCTCAGAAGAGCTAGCCTCTTGGGTCTCTGTAGAACACATTCACCCTGAACACAGGAGAGCGGGGATGTGCAATCGTTCCTTGTCCTGATGGTGAACAGGGAGCACAGCCCCGCTAGGGAGAGCCCTTCTCAGTTCTGCCTCATCCACAGGGCAGCCACAAAAATCAGCACCCCAGAGAAGGCCACACTGGGGAAAAAACTCTGTCCACTTTCCTCTCTGGACCTAGTGCAAGTCAAATGACAAATTTAGGTGACGGTTCTTCTTGCTACCTTAAATTAGATACCGTCTGTTCATTGATAAGGGGCTATTCCCAGAATGTGCTGCATGCTAGTTCTAAGTGAAAACCTTTATTGCCCTTTAGAAGAGACTCAAGAAATCATGTAAATTCACCTTAGCTAGAGGATGTGGAAGGTCTCAGATTACTCTACATGCCAAGTGCATCTCCTCCTACCTGCATCAGGATGCGGTCAGTCTAACATCTATGGCTGAGTCATCAGTGATCTTGAAAACGGTCTTTTCACTTTCTTGGAGAAGATGAGAGCCCACGTCCTCTTCTAAGTACACAGGACACAATTCTCTGTCATGTTAATCAAAGTCTCCTGATCTAATTTAGAAGACACAGGTGAAATGTATTGGTCCCTCATCGTACTGCAGGTTCCTTTCAGAAGTGTATTCATTCTGCCATTACTTGCCTTAACCCTCTATCATTTCCCTTTCTCTGACTTCCTCCTTACACTGGAATCATAGGTTGTCCCCCTCTATCCCTTATGATAGTTTATTACTTGTTTCCCATTTCCCCAAACCATTAAAGTTGTGTTATTTTCTTAATGGCTCAGTAAAGCTCTTTAGCGTGGAGTCGCCACATACATTTGGTGTGTGATAACACCCCACTGAGTCGCCCTTGGAACAAGTTATGGTATGGTCTGGCGCAGTTTTATATTCTCATTCTCAGTTGCCAGCACTGTCCATGATTTGAAAAGGAAGTCTATAACACAGAAAGATTTCAAGGTCATGTCTCACATTAAATTAAAGGAAAGAATACGTCAAGGCATTTCTCACCAAGGTGTGGTTCAGGAATAATGGAAGTCTGCTCCAGCTTTGGAAAATCTTGGGGAAAGTTTGATAGGAGAAGCCAAACCCAATGATTTGAGGCAAGTTCTTCATGCACAGTTGCGGTTCTCTCGCTGAAACAATAGAAGACGAATGGGTATTGTTTGAAAACTTAAAATTTTTCATTTAAAAATATTATCCTGATATTTTACTTGCTCAACAAATTTGTTAAAGTGACTATGAAAACTGGTTCATTTAATTCTTGTAATGTGGCAAGGCAACCCAAAGAAAAGAATTTTCCAAATTTTAACAGCTTCCATTCCCATTAACCAAAGATAAACAGGCAAAAGAATTTAGGGTTCTTAGCTTTTATTATTTGAAACCAGCCGCTCGTCTTGGTCTGTGTGTAGTAGCAGGGGCTGAGCTCATTCAATGGAACCAGCAAACAGGTTGCATTTGTGTGGTGTGACGGGGATGGGTTTCCAGATAAAGTTGCTCAGAGTGGAAATCAGTATAAGGAACACCTGGCCTGACTCCCAGCCATGCATTAGTTAGAAACTGGAGAAAGAACCGCTTTTAGAACCACTAATGAGCCCCAGGTGAAAACGCTGTTAACTAGAAGGCTCCTTTTTTCAAAGTTTCCAGTGTTTTGATTGATGAGCAAATTGTTTAGGGTTCCTAATTTTCTGTTACATTAAAACATAACCTTTGTTTTTCCTCCCAACTAAAACATCTTTGTCTCTGGCTACCACAAATGCCTATCATTAGTTATAGAAAAGGCCAGCTTCCATTTGGGAAATCGCTTGGTGAAACAGACATACTTTTTGGTAGTTTGAGTCCACACAGTGTTTATGATCCAAAAAATAAAATGAGGAACACTTTGGGGTTTAAAGTGGCTAATTAATAAGCACGTACTGTTGCATTTTCCTATATTTGCAACAGTGTTACATTTGATGAGATTTAGACTTTTCCATCTGTTTAAAAAAATTGCCTATTTAAATTTGTAATTAAAATTGGAAAATGTTCAGTTACTCTCAAATATGAAGTGCTGTGAGAATCACTGGCTCTCAGGAAAAAGAACCAAAGCCTAATTAATTATATAGCACCATTCATCCAGCATGTATTTATCATATTTTTTTGAAGAAGAAGATTAGCCCTGAGCTAACATCTGCTGCCAATCCTCCTCTTTTTGCTGAGGAAGGCTGGCCCTGAGCTAACATCCGTGCCCATCTTCTTCTACTTTATATGTGGGACGCCTGCCACAGCATGGCTTGCCAAGCAGTGCCATGTCGGCACCCGGGATCCGAACCGGAGAACTCCAGGCCGCCGAAATGGAACATGGGAACTTAACTGCTGTGCCACCGGGCCGGCCCCTATATTTATCATATTTTTAACACACGTGTTATGATCTACTAAGAAGAAATAAAAGCATACATAAGGAATTCAGTCATATGCCACATTTTTATTAAGGTCCAACTTTGTAGATGTATGGCAACATTTTGAGATTTGTTTTTTTTTTTAGTTTGATCATTATTTATTCAAAGAATTTATTTATTGAATACCCGTCACGTGCACTGGGCAACACAGCTACGAAAAAACAAACATGGTTAGCGCTTCAGCGGAGCTCGCAGTCCAGTGATGCTGATAAACACTGAACAAAGAAACATAGAAATTACTAGAATTATGATGGAATAAGCAGTAAAGGAAATGTCTGGGGTACAATGAGAATGTATATAACAGCGGAATCCAATATTGACAAGAAAATCAGGGAGGACCTCACTGAGGAAGTAACATTAACTTAAAACTTGAAGGACAAACAGAAATTAGCCAGGGGAAGAAAGAAGAATAGAAGAGCCTTGTTATACACAGCAGACAAGGCCCCAAGGGGAAGGAAACTCCTGGAGTAGAGAAGACAGAAATCTCTGTAAGGGCCTGCACTTCTCTACATTCGTAACCTAAATGTGCTAAAAATGGTATAAACTTTTCTGGCTTATTCAAGTCATCATTTTAATCATCAGTGATTATACTGTGCTGAGAAATGGTGTCTAGGAGTTATAGAGATGTGGCAAGTTGTTACCCTTGAGATAAATGGTCCCATATAATTGGTCTTAAGGCCTTACATTTGATGTATCTGGTTTTCTTGTATCTTTTTTTTGCCATCAACCATCCCTTGTGACTTTTGATAGTGTTTCTGCTTCTAGTAACACTGCTCCTATTGTCAATTTTTATCTCAAAATCTGCTGCGGTCTGGAAATCTAGATAATATAAATAATTTTGTGATTATATCTAAAAGAAAAATAAATGTTAAAATGAATAATCAGGCTCTGAGTAAGAGCACGGGGTCTTATGTAAAGTATAGGATCCTTAAATCATGAACTACATGCATGGCGTGTGTCCTGATGCTGTGGAGACCTTTCTACATCCAGCTCTGTGTGGGTTCTTAAGAAGGCATGCCAGTCCTGGCAAGTCTAAGCTTCCCATAAAAAGGAACACTAGAGGACAGGCCCATGTTTGTAAACTGAATCAGAAAAGCATCTAACCTCACCTAGTCTGCACCTCATACTCCCCCATTCATTCTATTTCCTTGGCTACTAACCCTAACGTCACTTACCTTTACAGCAGGGGTAATGACATTAAATGACAACCTGAGCCAGCGAGATAAAACGATCCTGGAGAACAGATACCCTTATAGAGGGTAATCATGACTCTAGCCAATTGTTGCCATGTGAGAAGGTATGACCATATTGTTCTAATTTGCTAAGGAGACTGAAATCTGATTTTTCACATGAAGTTCTCCCATTTATAAATGATGCCAATTAATTCAAACTCTTTTTTACATGCGGAAGGCAAACACATCTGCGGGCTGGAGTGCCTTCACCTAGAACTCTCTGCTCTCCATCCTCACCTGCCCTTCCCAGCCGGAAGCAGGAAAGAGTTTCCCTCAGACGCCGGGTTCCCTCCAAGCAGTGGTATGCTGGTAAATGTTTAACCACCAGCTCTCCGTGGTGTAACTCCCTGGACAATTTCAAGCTATCAAAGTGACATCACTGAACCCAGAGTGGGGAAGAGACATGCAATAGCCCCTCAAAGGGCTACAATACATGGCAATAACTTCAACGGCACAGAGAAGAGTACAATAACTGAGAAATGAGGAATCTTGAGTGTTTGTTAACTTGCTTTTAATATAGTTTATTTAATGGAAGTTTATATAATTTAATGTTTAATAATGATTTGCAAAACTCCTGAAACTGTCAGCTCTTATGAGCTCCTGCAAGCCACCTCCCGCACACCAGCACTACCAAAATAAGCTCGAGTTTACCCTCACTGACCACCTCTGGCCTCAGACCTCTCCCTCCAATGAGTTAACTATGGGTAGGCAGTCCCTTCATCCCTTTAGCCCACTATCTGACTTGCCCTTGTTTCTCACCTGGGCATCTTTTAATTGAAAGTGAAAATGACTGATTTCCAGAAAAGAAGACATCACTAAAGTTAAAATGTAATATTTCAAGCTCCTCAAACCATCTTTATGCATATGCTTGGGTGGGTCTTCACAGTGGCATGCTGAAGACACACAAAACCAGAGGCTGACCAGAGCGCATTTTCCTGCAGAGCTGGTATTACTAGTAGTTTAAAAAACAATCGTAAAGTTCTTGTCATATATATATGAAAGTAAAGTTAGAACCTCACTTTCTCACATCTGCTAAACTTGGGGGTGGAAAGGATGGAGGAATGAAATTGGGTGAGATAAATCAGCAGAGTTTTCAATTCTCTGCAAGTTTGTGACTTAAAACTGTGGTAATTTTGAACATAATCCTACTGAAGCCAAGCCAGTATCTGATCTTTGATGTAGACAGGAAAACACAGGAAGATAATAATACACCAAGTTTATAATGTTGTGAAGATTAAATGAGTTCCTATTTGTAAAGCTCTTAGAACAGTACCTGGCATAGATTCAGCACATTTACTACCTTTAGTAGTTCCATACACCTCGCCTCTTCCATATTTCCCCCCTTGTTAATCTGGCAGAAGAAACCCCAACCTCTAAAACCATCAGCCTGGTAAAGGCTGCAAAGGGAGGAAGGAGGGGAAAGGAAACTAAGCCGTCAGTCTTCCTTAGGTTGCAGATGGTAAACGACTGGTGTCACTGCTAAGTCTGTCTAGAAACAGTACCAGACTGCCCACAGCATCAGTGCTGTAGCTGTGTCACAGTGCACACTGCACACGTCCACAAGCGGTACCCAGGAGCCCACCATGTCAGTGATGTAGCTGTGACACAAGTGCTCACCTGCTGAGTTGATGAGATGGAATGTGAATACCACAGTCTGAGGGGGGTCACTCAGCAGATTTACTAAAGAATAAAACTACCTCTTTATGGATCAGTAGTTTAGTTCTGTTTCCTTATGATTTTACACAAAAATTGGCTTTTTCCACATCAAATCAACTTATTGCTACAGTGCACTTAATGGACTATTCATAAGCATCTGGATTTGGGATTTCAGGATTACCTTATCATATTATCTGTTTAGACACATAATTTTAAAATTATATTTTCATTTGCTAACATGGATTGATGTTTAGAAAGAATGAAGTGTTAACTTCAAAAAACTGAAAAAGCACAAGATATTAAGTGAAATTTAAAATAACAAAATCATCTTTCTGACTTTCATGATTTGTTTCTACGACTCAATATAACTATATTGACAGCAAAGGAAATTATAACATTATCACAAACACGATTAGTGAATTAGAATCAGGCATAAGCTCTCTTACAAACATTGAGTGTATGTATGATTTTAAATTAAGCATTTTATTTTGCGGATATTAAATGAACCTGAGCCTTGGTATTTCTTTTGGGAAAAGAAAACCCTAAACAATAATTCCAGAAAACTATAATGCATGCCCTGCTGTTTAAAAACTGTCACAACAATTTGAAAGGATAGCCAGAAGCATTATATTAAATACAGTAGAGAGAATTTTTAGCCAGGAACATAACAATGAAAAGCATGATTAAAATGAAAGCAAGTTAGAAAATGAAATGAGGATGCTGTGATGGCATAACTGGGACCATACTTCTCCTCCCGCTGTAAACAACAACTTTTTAAAAATGCACAAAATATCTGAAGCAAATGATTTT